TAATCAACAAACATATACCAGTCAAACAACTATCTAGGAGGGAAATAAAGCTTAAATCAAAACCATGGATATCTAAAGCTCTACGAAAGTCTATTCAAATTAAAAATAATTATTATAAGAAATACCTTAAGACAAAATCTACCTATTACCATACAAAATTTAAGCTTTACAGGAACAAATTAAACCACCTTCTAAAAATAAGCAAAAAACAATATTATAATGAATATTTTTTTCAAAACATTAAGGATGGCAAAAGGATTTGGAAAGGCATTAAGCAAATAGTTAAATTTAAGCCGCAAACTAGCCAAAGGCTCATTAAGATTGTAGATAACAACTTAGAAATAACTGAACCTAAACTTGTTGCCAATGCATTTAATAATTATTTTGCCAATATTGGTAAAAACCTAGAAAGTGAAATACCAAGTGTATCCAACAGCCCAATGGAATATTTAAACAATCCTGTATGTAATAGTCTTTATATTTTTCCCGTCACTTGTAGTGAAATTGAAACTGACATATCTAGGTTAAAAACTAGCAAGTCTGTAGGGCCATTCAGCATTCCAATTGATATACTAAAAATGCTAAAAGCTTATGTATCTAAACCTTTGGAGATTGTTTTTAATGCTTCTTTTTCAACTGGAGTTGTTCCCAGTGATTTCAAAATAGCAAACATTGTACCTGTGTTCAAAAAAGGATCCCAGTCATCCTTGTGCAATTTAGTCCAGCAGATTGGTGTAAAAATTGTGGGATTTATGGTAAAAGCGTCAAATTTGGCACAAAGGTAGATATTCGTTAGTTTATCAATTATAGCTATGGACCCACCGAGAATCTGCCCCCTAATTTGCATAATTTAAGGTAGAAGTGTCACCCACTGGTTGATTAGCATGAAAACGAGGCTCAGATACAATCTTTTATTTAACATGAATTTTTAACTGTTTAAAGACCGTGAATCAATAGCTGAATAATTTTTATTCGAGATAAAACCTTATGTGGATATTTTGAGGTGAGATACCTCGCTCTGGTAGCCTGACATGGCAACGAGGCTAATGCCAATTAGTGTAGAATTTTGAACAGTTAAGTGAGAGATTAAGTGAATGAAATGGACGCATAAAGGTATTAAAACGACTTGTTATAGTCACAAATACTTCTTTTGTGATTAAAGAACGTGTAATTAAGCTCTCCTAATGACAAAAAACATTTTACAACCAGGTACCAGGACATGTCTTCTGTGTTAACTGATATCTTGGTAAAAGAACGAACAATGTGTTCTTTTGAAGCTCTCTGAATAACTAAAACAAATCTGAAAAATGTTTTCAAAGTTCTTATTTAAATACAACATGGTGCTACTTTAAAATAATGTGGCATTACAGATATTTGAAGACGCACTTTATCTACCGTTCTGAAGTTAACGTGCATGTCTTCATTTACGACCCTGTGGACTCATCCCTCTCACAATGACCGCTGCAATTACACAAGGCTGTACACTGCAGCTCGGCTCTAACACATTTACATCTTCTGGTGCAGCCCTTGTCACTTTTGCATCCACACTTTAACAGCTCCTGGCAGTTCTGCGATGCTTCCGGAAGGGTCATAAATAGTGGTTCCCAAACTTGACTGGCACTCCGCACCCAGCCCCATTCACTTGGACATGGGAGGGGATGGGATGGCACCAATGCCTTGCCCCAGCAGTGCCCAGCTTGGTATGCACATCGCTTTGTGTGCAGACGAAAGGCGTCAGCCGTAGGGGGAATACCTTCAATGTCTCTCCCCTTTCGTGTAAAGAGATCTCTACGAGCTTCATTTACTTCCTTGCAAGTGTTAGAACGATCGTACATGATGATAACGTAGCGCTCCAGAGTAGGCAACTGTTCACAGACGTCCTCGAGCGTTGGTGCATCGCTCAGGACTTGAAAAGATGTTGTCACTTCACTGAAAGCATCCCAAGCTTCCAGGCTGTCTTCTTTCCGCGGTGTGCGAAGAAGGATGTTTGGTCACACCCAGTGAAAGCGTGAAAGGCGAGAAGTGCTTGAGACTTAATTGGACCGATATGCTGGCAAATATCGTGAACAGGCAGGTACCTAAAGTGTTTTCCAGTACCAAAGGCAACCCAAAGTTCAGAAAGTTGAATCTGGTGAAATGCTGCCACTGAGATCACTACAACATCGGTGTCAACTGTGCGTACCATTACCTTAGTGAATCCTTGGTTTGCAGCGTCAGCCACATGCAGCAAGAGCCTTGTGTCGGCCTCTTCATGTCCACATGGCGCCAGGTTAGTGATGTCATTTCTTTCATCGTTAAAGAGCACTGATTCGTCTTTGGTAGTTACTACCTGTCCATGGACATTTGAGATTGTGATTAGCTGCTCGGCCAGGAAATGGAAAAGCTCCACCTTGTTCTCATCCACTCTCAGAAAAGCAGCCCAGTTTCCAGGAATCTTTGTGTCTGGCTGGACTCGTCGTCGTGAGCCATTTCCTCTCTTTCTTCTAGTGCAATCCTTCAGACTGTTTGAGAGGTATCTGTCCCACACCACATCTACCCTCTTAACACTTTCAAGCTCCCTGGTTACGTATGGTATAAAAACAAACTGACTGTATTCTGCAAACGTCTTGCAAGCTCCGGTGGGTTTAAGCATGTTCACAATGGCTGCCCCATCTAATAATAGAACGTCAACGGAAGGCTTTTCCGCTTTAGCAGGACACAACCTTTCTAGACAGAATAGCAAATCTGACTTGTTTCCTGATCTTAGAGTTCCATACTGAGACAAGGAAGGCGGGTAGCTCTGGTTCTCGTGAGTAAAGAAGCTGTCTAAGTCACCTTCTCTAACCTGACATGAGATGTACAGGCGTGAAAACAGGGAGCAGTTGCTCTTTAGTGAAGCTATTTTCATCTTATCCTTGGTTGTCTCTTTAGGAGCCGGAGGACTACTAAACAGCTGTATCTTGTTTCTCTTGATAACATCAAAAAGCGAGATTTTTCGCTCATCAAGCCTGGTTGTGCAAAACTCCTGAAATTGCTTCTGGCCTAGTTCCTCTACAGTTCTAACTGATTTCACCACTGTGGCATCCATAATGTCTCGCGTATCTAAGATAAGCAAGTCCCCACTCTGGTCTAAGAAAGGGTTACCCATCTCACTAATTACATTGGAAAGTGATTGGACCTCACTTTGGAAAGTACTTTGAACTCCTCTTGTTTCTTCGTGGTGTCGATGCTTTCTATCATCGGATGTTGATTTTAGTAGTTCCTGGGAAACCTCGAATTCGTTAATGATTCTAGACATTTCTGGCCCTGACACCATCCAACGCATTAATTGAGTTGGGCTCTCTGTAAGGCCAATGGCACCACCATCCCCTTTCACAATCTTATTATTCTGTTCATGGGCGTGGTCAATGGGTAGTGCAGAAAATGACCGGTTTGTCTTGTTCACCACGAAATGGCCTTTCCTGAATTGTGCAGCCAAATTGGGTAGTTTCGTGTCCAGGGACTCCATGTCGCGAATGTGGACGGGCAGCCACCTAGCATAGTTTGTGCGGTCTAATGCAAAAAACCAGGGTGCAAGTCTTTTACATGACTCTTTGTATAGTTCGAAGTTCCCCTCTCGAAGAGACCTTACAAATATTAATGTGGTGAGCTCAAAGCGAAGGGTGAGAGACCAGTAGTGGAACTGAGGACTAGCCAGCTCTGCTTGCTTGCGCCACTCCATAAACGTTTTGGGTTCTTCTTCTTCCGAGATGCAATTGCAGTAGTGCTTGTATGCCTTGTCCATCAGTGTGTACAAAGCACAAGCAGTAATCTGGTGGGCGTGTCGGGTGCGTGAAACGTGTGACGCCTTGAGAAAGGAGTCGGCTGTTCCAGGAGTTGTTATGCCCGCTTGCACTAGGGCGCTTGTCCAACCACTACCCTCAATCCAGGTCCCCAATGCCTTAAGAGCGGCAAGCTCAGTATGCAGCCCTCCAAACATCATAACTATGCTACTTTCTCCATACGTGGATGGCCAGTTCCACTGAATCTTCTTTGCCATTGCATAGATTGGCTGATCACAAGCAAACACAGGTGTCTGCCCAGGATTAAGATAATTGACCGCCTTAATAACTACGTCCATTGAATGACAAATCATAGCTGGGGAGGCAGCCTCCTCTTGAAAGAGCGGGAGCAGCGAGGTCGTATCCAATTGACCTGGAGGCTGGACTTGATTTTCGTGATATGCTGCCCATGAAACTTTCTTTATCTCTTCCGTTATGTCTTTGTTAACCTCGTCTCTCACATGTTCCAGCCATTTATACTCCATACTAAAAGCTTGTGTCATTTCAAGGTAATTGCTCACAAATGACACTTGAAGAGGCGGCACAACGGGTTCATTCTTGGGGAGAATGACGGGCTTAACAAGTGTGTAAGAATCCGGAAGTTGAGAAAGACGCTTTCTCTTGGAGGGCTGATTGTCTATGCTAACTACATCTCGCGCTTCACCTGGTGCACCATCAGATGGGTGTTGGAATAAAGATATACCTGTTCCATGGAAAGCACCTTGAGCGGTTGTAGATGACGGGTTATGGTCAATGTTATCCATGGCAGCTGTTGTAAATACTCCTTTATTAAGCTTGGGCGGGCAAACAACCCCTTCAGACTCAAACCGCGAACAAACACTATTGCCCAAGTCAGTAGATAATTCTAGCACCCTGTCATACGAAATTGACAGTCCAAGACTATAGAGTTTATCGACCAGTGTTCTCTTTCTTGTTTCTGCGTGAGTCATGAGGCCAAGATATATTGGCAGTGGTGGTTCGCGATCTCGAGAGTGATAATAAGCTGAACCAGTTGCTTCACTACAACGACGCCGTATGCTGGTATTAAAAAGCATGAGTTGTGATATACTTAGTGTAGGCTGCGCATCACTCACACGACTAGACGGAGTTTTGATATCTGTTGCCTCTAAGATCAATCCTATTAACGTTTTAAGGGACTGTGGAATTGATTCTTGTTGAGAATCTTTATCAAATGTTCCACTGAATTGCGTTTTCGTGGCTATTATATCTCGACGAATGATCTTGCTTGCTTTAAGTAGGATTATTGCTTCATCATCAAAATCCCTAAAGCGAGTCAGTTCGAGCGCTTTGCCAACATCTTCACTGAATGCCATCACTATGTCTCGGCCTTTCTTGTGCGCCTGCAAGCCTGGAACATTTGCTAAAATTCTCTCCTTTAGGTCAGTGGAGTGTACTCTACCCGACAAATCGCTACCATAGTGTTTCAGGAAACGGGTGTACATGGCTGTAAGTTCTGCTAGCGTAAACACGGGAATGCTATCTGCGGACTCTGCACGAGTTTCTTCAAGATAAGCGACGAGCTGTGCTAGAGCCATACCCTGGATTACCTTCTCATCACTGCTTGTAGGATTCTGATTTAATCTCTCTGCCTTGTTATAGAGCAACACCAGGCACTTTGTATGATACACGGCTTCCTGAGAGATCAAATCGCCGGCACTTAGTTTTGCGATTAGGACCTCATCTTGCAACTGATGTGCACACTCTCGCACCCTTGCATCTACATTAAAAGTGGATGCTTGATGAAGTGTACCTGTGGCACCGGAGCAGAAAAAACAGCTTACTTCTTTAGTCATCGAAGATGCTGCACCAGAGCTTTGTCTAGTGAATTTAGACTTTACTTGAGAACTTGGCAAATCTTCTTGAATTTTCCTTTTTTGTGCTCTTTTTAGCTTCATGTCACTAAATTTGTTTCTACACGTTTTATGCCATTTCGCTTTACGCTTCATCAATGTTGCTGGTATGCCAACACCTTCATCCAACTTTTCTATATCTAAAGATATTGGCATAAACCCTAGCTCCTTGAATTTGTGAATACGTTCCGCTAGGGAATTATATCCTGTCCCATATTCGATATCTGATCTGCGAGAATTCCCTGGACATTGGAGCTGCTCCTTCGTTGTTTCCTGACACAAAATACATTTTTCCCAGTCCAAGGAAACAGTATCTTCGTCTTGTTTGGCCATCGAGGATATGTCAGACCCAAATACAATAACAATAAGTACGCATACCAGAAGAATCATGTTACGTTGGTCTGTATGATCAAAGCAAAGAAACGCTGATCAAGGAAAGGTACTGAGCGACAAAAGGAGTCTTCCAATAAGATCTAATTGGACTTATAAGTACAATGAAAATGTTTTTTTTTCAATTCATTTTAAGATTGAAGTAAACTGAAGCCGAACTGCCACAAGATCATTTCCTGCACGACATATTTATTGTCTTGTCAAAATTGTTTCGGTTCGCACCTGAAATAAGATTCTGTTAAACAAATTTAGCAGGATATTGTTTTTCTTACCTCCATTCTAGCACTGTGAAAGAAAATACGTTGTAAGGAGCACGAGAATCCTGAAAAAATTAGCTTCTTGTTCTTAACCAAACCAGAGCTTTGAGAACTGTAAGTTCACTGTGAGGATGGTAACCACGCTTGCAAGGTAACCACGCCATGCACAGGCTACCCAATGGTAAAATAACGTGATAGGGCTTACAGTGTAAATGATAGTTGTTTACTGTAAATTTGTATTAAGGATATGTAAACGCTGTTAATATCAATCTTTTAGAGATTTTAATGGTTTCGTCACTTTAAAAAAATTATTAATGCTTGATACTTACAAAGTGAACGGTTTTATTTTTTTTTTTTTACATTTCCACGTTTAATGTTTTGTCTGCGGTAGGTGTATTACTTTTTCATACCCTAAAATGACCTCGGAAAGGTCAGATCATCGTACCTTTAAATCATTATTTCTTATGAAATAAGAAACTAGCAAGGCATTTGATATCATCATACGAAGGCTTCTCAATGTGCTGATCGGATGTAAATTACTTCTTTCCAGCCAAAATAGTCCTCTTTCACCTCATAACTTGCGGCAAAAACCTTTTTGGGCTATCAATTCTCATTCGTGAGCATTTTGCGTCTCATATACAATACCCAGAAACCCATAAGGGGTTGAAACGTGTAACTCTCATATGTTTGCATTGTCCGATGCTCGTGAATATTCATTTTCGCAAGTACCATATTTGGAACGAGAAGAAAAGACAACTGACCAATCCAACTTCGTAAACGACGTGACGTAATTTACCCCACGTTCCCGCGCCCGCTCAAAAAAATGGCCGACAAACGGGGGAAAACCTCCCAAAAGCCGTGTAAACTTTCAAAGGCTGGAACCAACAAACTAACGGCGGTACTGCGCAAAAAAACGGAGCAGGAGATCTTTGAGTCGATAAAGGGGCTTGTAGAAACAACATGGAGCAAACCGCTGGGTCTGGAAGAAAATGTAACCGCGAAGTTGATGTGGGCAGCTGTCTGTGGAGAAGAGAAAATTAAAGCCGCCTGCAAAGGTTTGTTTAATAGGTTGTTGTTGCTTTTTGAAGAAGAGAAAGGGTCGGATCGCTTACCGAAACTGTTGAATAAGTGGGTTGTTTTGTCAGGTACTGTGTTAAACAATGGCGACCATGCAATCACTCGCTCAATAAGAGAGCTGTGTTTGCACATCTGTAGCACGGACAAATTCACGGCAAAGGCATTCAGTGCAAAACTTACGGGTTGTATAGTTGAAGGGGTGAAGGATGTGTTTTGGGGTTTTGTGTATGGTGAAAAGGTAGATCAGGAAAAGATAGAACAAGAACAGTCAACAGGTAGCGAGGACAGGGAGCAGTCTGCAGGACAGGAAGATCTTATTTCAGTTTACAGGATGGGTTCTGCAGCTCTGTTCAGCATTAAAAAAGTTGCATGGAAAAAAATTAAGTTCAAACCGAGGAAAAAAGAACTGAATCGATTAGAGTCACTTATTCAAATAGTTGAGGCTCTGGAAGAAAAGGACAGGAGTAAAATTCCATCCGAAATGCTCCTTCAAAATCGGAATCTCCTAGTCATGAAACGAGAACTTGTAGTACCTCTCGAAGAATTTGTTAAGGCATTCAGCCAAATTGTAAATTATAAGGGTTACAAGACTTATGGCAAAAAATTATTTAAAGTTGCAGAAGGGCAATTACTTTATAACTTAGAGGTCAAGAGAAAGTTTTTTCAATGCGTTGTAAAGGCAGGGGTCAAGGAGGCAAAACCTGTGCTTTGCAAGTTCTTTAAAGACTTTGTTCGAAAGCTGTTCAATATTAAAAGCAAGGCATTCCTGAAAAGCCTAGAAATTCTAGAAGAGGAGAAGCAGGGAAAGTCTCTGCAACGTGACACAATGCTGAGGGCAAAACTCAAAGTGTCTGGCCTTGACAAAAAGAAGAAAACGGTTTCTGGAGATAAGAAATAAAGTTAATTTACGCAGAAGACTCTCTTTCCAGGGACGTTAGGACTTATAATCAAAACTTGCATGAGTCTATAATTTTACATGTATAAAGTGTTTAATATAAATTTTGCATGTACCTTTTAAGATTGGACTCACAGTAGCCTTACGCATGTTGTTTATCCTCCAAACAAGTTTAAATGCCACAAGGTCTACCAAAGTTAGGCCGTAAAAATGTATTTCACTTGTAATAAAAAAATCAAGTTCTTAATGACCATTAATATATAGCAGAAACTCAGATGTATGTATGTAGTCACAGGCATTAATGGTCTTCCAGTGAGTGTTTCTGGTAAGGATGTTCCAACCAGAAAGTCAATACCTACAATTAAAGGCTTACCTTTGTATATTTTTGTGTAAGAACCATCATGACAGGTCAAAAATGTTGTGTTGTGTCATTATATAAGTAGTCATCGAGAATACTTCATTCTAATTTTAAATCAATTATTCAAATACTGTTTAATATACTTCATTACCTTTTCTTTTTTCAACAGGCAAACCCCACAGACACAAGACCTATAAAGGGGGTACATTGGGCTGCTGTCCCGTTAAACAGAAACATGTTCACCTTGATAGTTAAAGGGGCTATAAATGCAATATCAGGCAACGCAACTGCCTGGAACTCCATAAAAAGCACCTCTTTTTTTTCTCAGGAAAGGGTCTTCAGAACAGCATAACAAGTGTCCTGACTAGACTATGACTCAGCATGCAAAGAAAGTCATGTCCGATAGCCTGGGGCTAGTGGATTTTGCTATTGGGTTAGTGATTTTTCTTCTTTACTTGCCTGATGGGCAAGTGCTGTTTTTTGGGGAAATTCAAATAACAGAAAGATTGAAATCAATCCTGCTAATCAGGAAGGGTTTTGGGGCTAGTTGAAATGACTTGTGGACTAGTACATGCTAGCTAAAGCTAACCTGAGATCAGGCGTTACTTTTTTGGCTTCTTTGCATCTTTGGCTCCTCCCCAAAGCAGATTACAGAGATAAAGGGAGAGGGCATGATCGCAAGCTAAGCTAAAGCTTGCCCGAATGGCAGGCTGTAAAACTGACTTTCTCTGCATCCTGTGACTACCGTAGTCCCTTCTTCTCATGGCCAGTACAATGAGAGACCCAAATTTGTGTACAAATCCCTCCCCTGAATAATTTAAGGGACTTTTCATTGACTATATCCTGTCTGTCAGCCTAGTAGTTGAAAATACTGTGGATCTGTGTTGGGATATTATTTGATTTTATCAACTGGGTGGTAAAGTAAATTGGCCACCACAAATATTTTATAATCTGTTGTTTTAAACACAAGCCCTTCATGAGTCTCTGTTTGAATCTAATTAAACTAGTAGTTAAGTAATATATTAATTTTTAGTTAAGATGCCAACACCCACATGTACGTTTTATTTCTCTCTGGTCATGATCTTTAAGAAAGAAGTAAGATATCAGATAGCTAGATACACTCTGAGAGTTTATAGTGTATCCAGGGCCATGTTGTTCAAAGCTGAGCTAACATGAATACCCATGGTTAGTTGATAATTCACTAACCCTGGGTATTATCCAATTGAATAAGAAATTATGACAGAAAATTAATACTTTTGAAAAAAAGGAAATGAAACCTGGATTAAAATTTCACCCCGTGTTAGCGCCGACTTTGTAGTCTTTGAACAATAGTAGACCCAGATGAATGATTCGATTCTTTACAGTAATATTACTGTCACTGAACTCAACAGTCTGTTATGCTTTACATTTTTTGATAATTGAAGGAGTGCATGAAACATGGAATGAGACTCCAATCTAATGTCACAGTTTCCATTTGAGTCACATGGAGCATTATTATGCATTTCAAATTGGAAGGAGAATGTACAGTCTTAACTAATTTATTGGAAGTCACTCATACGTTTTTCCAGTCACCCCTTTAATATTATTGTAGAGGGATTCCTTTCCATGTACAAGCTTATCACTTTCGAATTGCAATAAAGAATCTTATTATTCTTAAAATTGGAGGTCCATGTGCTATTTGAATATCTTCAAACTCTTGAAATGCTAGAAAAAATTGGTTAAAAAAATTATTGTACCACTAGAATATTTTCAACAAACTAAATTACAAAGCAACTTTACATCCGATATGCCTGACTAAAAAATGACAACAGACTCTTGTAGAAATAACACAATTATTTTGACTTGCTCAATGTACAATGTATACTTTTGAAAACAACTCAGCTAAGTTGTTATCTTGTTTTCATCCCAAATGAAATACTGTAAGAAGGGTTGAAAAGAGGCAGCTGACTCATATAACAAGGATGAGTAATTATGCCACTCTTTGTACCATACGTCTGGACCTTTTGAAGCGTCTCTGCCTCACATACAATCTTGCTTTCCGGTACTTGTATTTCCCACGGTGACCATGAAGGAACCTTCTCAGAGTCAACGAGGAAAGGGCATAGCCATAATTACAGCTGGTTAAGTTTCCAGCAGTTGAAAATCGTAGCTGAGAGAAGATTGTTTCTAATCCACTGCCATTAATCCTTAGTGGAATAAGGTAATGCCCTGGAAACCGATCAAAGAACTCATGGCAAAGTTCAGAAAAACCATAGTACATCAATCTGAGCAGGTCCCATGTCTGCAAGGCAAGTAATTAATATTCACTTCTCAGGAGAGATACTATAAAACAATACATCTTGAAATAGCCAAAAAAAAAGAAACATACTTACTTGCCATGACAAAAAGACTGTCTGTGTGGGGACTGAAAGGTCATAACCTGTTTTGAAAAAAAAAAAAGAATCTCCAATGAGGGTAATTTTGAATTGATCTTCAGAATTGACCAAAGTTTGCAGTCAAAAACAAAATCACAAAGTGACCATGATTGATTAAAGTCCAGGGCCCTAAGATGTACTGGTTTCTACATTCACTTGAATGTTCACTTTTTTTGTTTTGGTACTTCCTAGCTCCTCCAGAGAACAGGAAATCACTCGACGTCACCAATTAATCATGTTGCATTTCATTTTCAAGACAGTAATAATGCCACTGGTACAACAGGGGTATACTGTTTAATTAAATATTACTCTGAAAGTGTTTTTATTGGTACACATTGGACTCTGTGCAGCTATACAAAAATTACTGACTAAGTGTGAACAGGGATAAGCAATTTTCTACCTTCACCATAGCAGTAGTCTGCCCAGGCTACAAAAAACAGAAATCCTTCCTCCATCTTCTGAAGAACAGCACTGTTGACATCAGATATCTTTGTATGGCTGAGTACACCAAATTCAAATAATGACTGGGCAGCTTCCAGGTACTCCACGGTCATAGAAACCTTGTCAGCATCAGCAGGGCCTTTTTCTTGATACTCCTTTAGTTCTCCAATCAGATGGTCTTGCTGATAAATATAATGGAAATAAGTGATTTTCAAAACAGCTCAATACAGCATAAACAAAATGTTCAATTGTATTCAATTCTATCTTTGGTTTAAATTTTATTTTCCTACCCAAAAACAACGGAAAATAAAATTTGAACCAAAGATAAATTAAACCACAACATTAAATTTAATCTTATGAGAGCTGGGTAATCATACTGAACACTAGGAAAAAGTTGAAGCTAAAATGTAAACTTAAATGTTCCTGCCAAGTTTAATATTATTTTAGTTGATTAGATAAAGTAGTCAGATTATTAACTTAACAATAGTATTTAGGACTGTGCTGTCCGGATATATTTGAAACACATTTATAGCGGCTTACCTGCATAACTTTGGCAGGTCTGACATTAAGTCGTGTCCAAGAATCCCTGAAAACATACCGGTACTTCAGCTCTGGAACTCTCAGCATTCTGTTCTTTCGCGCCCTATCCAGTTCTCGATTCCATACTCCAATGATCTGTCTCCAACCAAAGTTGATACCCCACAAGTTAAAGTGCTTTTTTCCAGTTGGCTTTGAAGAATACAATGCCGCAATAATGCTTTTCAGCTGTGAATATTAGAGACACTTATCAGAAGGCTGATGATTTTTTTTTGAATGGTTGCTTTCTAAATTTTTCTTCTTTTGGATTGTTCCAATATTTACGCAAAATGTAGTTGTACCACAACTGTATATATACATGTACAAGGATAACATCCTTAAAAATTTTAAAGATTTGTCGATGGTTTGGAAATATTTTATAAGGGTTTACAGGAAATAACTGCTTTCAAAATATACAGTAACACTAAAAAATGGAATAGTTAAACTTGACCCTATTACAAACAAATATATGAAGCCACTGATGTTGGGAGCTGGTCAATTATTTTTTGGAAATTCAAATTACAAAAGGATTGTAATCAATCCTGCTAATCAAAAAGGGTTTTGGGGCCAGTTGAAATGACTTGTGGGCTAGTACATGCTAGCTACAGCTTGCCCAAATGGCAAGCTGCATAACTGACCTTCTTTGCACCCTGATTATTATAACATGCAGTTTCAAATTATTATTGCAACTGTTACCTCATGGGATGGACATGGCACAAAAAATATCTTGGTACCAGTGAATGGATTTATCCACCATGTTTTTACACGATGAGGTTCTGACACAGCTGGGTCCTCATTCATACCATATGCACCAGCCTTACCCATGGTAAAGTACTTCATTGCAGCCAAGTTTGTGCTAGCACCATCTAGTACAATGGCCATCACCTCGAATCCGTAGAGATGAAATGCATGGATGGTGGTAAGTATGCACGTCATCACAAACTGATGCTTCATTCCCACTTCGCTCTTGTAGTAAGGACCAATGACATCGAACTCGCTTGTAAGGTCACGCCATAAGAACTGGTATACATAAGATGCTCTCATTTGTCTTCGAGATGGATCCAGTTCCTCATAAATATCGTGAAGTGAAACCATCTCATCAGGAGTGAGGGAATGACCAATGAATCTTCATGTAAAAAATTAGTAAGAGAAAATTATTATTGACATTATATTATTTAGTTGACAGGCATTTAATTTACTTTAAATGAATCCAAGCATCATTTTGTGAATTTAAGTTTACCACTATTATGTAACGGATCTAGACAATTCTTCTAATTAAGTCTATACTTTTTAAGGTATTCACTAACTCACTTTTGGTCAAAAGTTAGAAGAAATCAATTAATTGTTAATCTTTTTACTATAATTTCAAAATTCAGCAAATTCATGGATGCCAAAAAAGGAAACTGACCAAAAAGGTACATAAATATTTATTAAATGAATTAAACCATGCATAAATAAACGCACTCATTATTTCTGGAGTTCCACTGAATTTTTGTCACCACTTTCACCTCATCCCCAATCAACACACCCCAGCCTTGCGGTTGTAGTAACCCTTGTACTCTCTTTTCCTCTCGAAGGGATTTGTAATCTTGGGCAGCTTCTTCCAGGTTTTCCCAATTGGGGCCATCAGTCTGGAAGTACCCCGACCGTAGTTGTCTTAATGAATCCACTGATGGTAGCTGTAATATGTCAAAACCTGCCAAAGCCTCATAGGCTGCCGGGCTTCTACAAAATACTGCCAGAGCCATACGATAGGTAATTGTACTCCATCTATTTCCATGCACACCATTTCCTACACAAGAACATTGTACACAAATTCCTATTAGTTTTTAATGACTGCTATGAAGTTTCCCATGATGGAGTATAAAGTCTATTTATAAATATTTTTCATTTCTGTTAATTGATGATACAGTACAGCAATGTGTATTGCCCTTAATGCACAAAATGACAGAATAAATTTAACCCTTGAGTTGACAAACGTACAACGAAATAATTCATAGTTTCATACTGCTTAGCTTTTTTAATGTTCACTGAGAGGATCATAATTCACTGGTATCTAAATCTAATCCTTTAATTATTGAATATTATTAAGTGAAAAGAGTTAAGATTTTCAACTTGTATATTAAGTTTTATCATTTTCTGTGAGCGGTTAAATGGGGATTTCTGTTATTTGTTCCAATATTAGCTGTTTGCTCTGACAAAGAGGAAACTAGTCAGGTTTTGAGGGAGGACAGAAAATCCAGAACGAGGGTGACAGCTCTCAGAACATCTGCTTTCCCACTGCCTTCATCTGATGAATCATTAATAACATGCTGCAATTCAGGACGGAAGTCATTTTCTATGACATTTACAATTTTTCTCATCTCCTGGTCCTGCTTGTCACTAAGTTTGCAGTTGTAGGACTTTAACTTTCTAACTTCCCTCTCTAGTTTCCGCTTGTCAACTGAAATGGCATTCCTTCTCTTTTTTTTTGACTTAGGGCTTAGATACTTCCAGTTGCACTTGGACGTTGGCTTGGTACGTGGGCTACTATTCAGATCTTTAAGCCTTTAATAAATATAAAAATATAAATAAATGAAACAATAACTATAATCTTATGGCTCCTCCTTCCCCATTTGAGTGTTCAAAATTTGGTTCCTTGGTTAAGTTTCCATGAATTATCACTGATCAGTTTTGCTGGATCAGACTCCACTTCAAATTGACAGGGAGGCTGGGATAAATGAAAGAGAAGATGGTGAAAGGGGTGGGGGTGAGTGATTATTAATTTTGAGGGAGGTGATTATTTATATTTCCATCTATGGGGGGGATTATTTGAGGGAGGCGACTAATTGAGGAAGGTGATTAATCAAGGGACAGCTATTATTTGATTTATTATTTTTATACTATTTCTTACTTCCATGTAGGTTCTTATTAATTAATTGGTTTTGTCCTCATTTTTATTTTATTTTTTGAGGACCAGTCATTATTTAGAGATGGGATAGGGGGAAGAAAAAAAGGAGGGAAGCCATAAATATATGTGGTCTCAATTTTTGCCTGCATAAAGATTAGTGACCCCCCCCCCCGTATCAATTTGCATCAGCCCTTCCACCTCTAATAAAATAACCATTGAAGTCGCTGAAGTTTTACAATAACACAACACATCATTGAGATAAATCGTTATAACTATGGTACATTAAAATTTTATCATTAAAAAAGCTAGTGTACTTAATTTATTATGAACAGACAGGCAAACAATAGTTACAATAAGTGAACAAACAAAAAAATATCTTACCTCAATGCCCTGGATATTCGGAGGTGCAATTTCTTGCACGGGTTGCATACATTATATAGAACATCGCCTGCACGGCGCTTCCGGTTCTTCGGTTCGTGTAACAGCTCACACATGTCACTGTCCACTCGCTTAAAAGGCATTTCCCACTTTCGCAGATGTTTTGGGTCGTAGCCCAGACGGTTTCCACTTTCATCAAAATCTACGATGCCTCCACATACCACAAAATTAGAATTCGGTCCGAGCAGTTTGAGAATCAAATTTCTCGCATGATCTTCTGACTTAAAATGTCCTTTCTCTTTCAGAACCAAAAATACTTCCAGATGGTAAAATCCCATCGCATCACAAATAAGTCGCACAGGGGGTATGATCTTGTTTACGTCCCAATCGTCAAGTTTGGAAACGATGGCAAACACCTTTGTCGGACTTCTCTTCTCCATATAGTCCATTCCAATCTCTTCTGCAATTTGTTTAATCAGAGGGAGCCATCCTCTGAGGTGCACAAGATTTTCACCTTGTTGAGCCGGGTAAAACTTGTACGGACTTCTTCCGTTTTGACAATTTCTTTTTCGATGAGACGGACTACAGCTACTCGAGCGAAAACGCCATTTTGTTGGCTTCGGTGAACTCGCCCTCGTTTTCTCGGTTTCTTCATTCTTGTTAATTTTTTTCGGACTATTTACTCTTTTAACACTTTCCACGCGAAGTTTTCTTCTGGGGATGGTAGCAGTTTTGGGGAAAATTGGCTTACCACCCGGGCCAAAACCAACATTATGAAACTTAATCTTCATAATTTACGGGCCGTGTTGCCACATTTGGGCAACTTTTAGGCTACGCGAAAGTCACGCAACGAGGGTTTCCAAATATGGTCAAAACTGAATATTCACGAGCATTGAACGCGAGTTACACGTTTCAACCCCTTATGAGTTTCTGCAATACCCTAACATGCAATCTTGCAAGTTTTGAGTCAGCCTCGTTTTCATGCTAATCAACCGGTGGGTGACTCTTCTACCTTAAATTATGCAAATTAGGGGGCGGATCCCGGGTGGGTCCATAGCTAAAATTAATCAACTAATGTATCTCTAACTGTGTGCCAAATTTGCAGCTTTTACCATAAATCCCACAATTCACCTAAAAGTTTGCACCAATCTGCTGGACTAATTACCGTCCTATCTCCCTCATTTCTGTCTTTAGTAAGCTCTTAGAAAAACTTGATTATAATGGGCTAATCAAATTCTTAGAAAAAAACAAAGTCTTATTTGAAAATCAATATGGTTTCAGAACTAAGCACAGTACAGACCATGCAATTCTTTGCATAATTGACAAAATTCAGAAAGCAATTGATGATCGAAGCTATTCCTGTGGTATATTCCTTGATTTTACCAAAGCATTTGACACCGTCAATCATCAAATTTTGATTAACAAACTAGAGTATTACGGTATTCGTGGTCTTGCTAAAGATTGGTTTATTTCCTACCTCAGTGACCGACAACAAGTTGTTACTGTCAATAA